CTTTCGCCCTGGAGGTTAGGCGAAGGAACGAGTCGTCGTCCAGCTTCGGACACCTGATGCCGGCCGCGTAAACGCGCTGGCGCCAGACTGATAAATGAGCCTGATATGCTTTAGATAGTGTATGCACGTCGTTTCACCGGGTGTCTGAAATGCGTTAAATGGACTCAACTTAGTTCAACGAGGACTCACACAGACATATTATCATGTCAACGTACTGGGACAGGGGGGGGGGGGGCGAGGGTGTCTGTGTGCGAGCCAAGAACGATTGGATTGACGCGGACGCCAACAGATGTGTATGTTTGGAGTGAGTGTGTTTAGGTCAACAGGCGCCATTTAACGTCCAGCATTAAAGCCGAAGAGACGCTTCCAGGGACATGGAAAGCCTCCCACTGGTGTATTTTGTCTGCCGGGCCCAATCCTTTCCGAGTCCATCCGAGACTGACCTAAGCTGTGATGATCGTTGTCACTCTCATATTCAGGACGTAATACGCACCATGATGGGTTTTGTTTCGGCAAAACACGGACGAGAATAACGGGTATTAGAACACTCCAAATCTGTCAATGGATGCCACCATTTCGTATTTCATTGGCTCCATAGGTAAGGTAGAACTTCCGAGAAAAATCATTTCGAAACGTGGGACCTAAGAGTCCGGTGAAATATAACGTAAACCTCCTTACATACTAATTGTTTTAAGTCATTCCATAATCTTATGCGCACAAACCCCACTGATACAAAACTCACCATTTCACATCAGGCGTGCCGATGCCCACCTCCGTTCTGATTTTCGTTCTCGTTGTTGTTTCCTTGTTGAGCCAGCTTTGCTCGTTTGCATGATTACACAAATTGTACTCGACCTTTTGACACCACTTGGCCCAGACCACACCACTAAGCTCCCTGACCTTACCACTGGTATGAACAGTAGCTTCATGTCTTACCACCTTTAGAGCTTTTACACGATCTTCGACCTGTTGTGTTGTGATATTGTATGAGGTATATGTCCAGGCGGATGATATTATTGTGAGATCACAGAGGCCGATTTACCTTCTTTATGTCATGGCTATTGTAGGCGCATGATACTGAAAATCGCATCATCATCGAGCCAGGTTCAAAAGTCACCGCTTGTGCATCAATTTCGTGCAGAAATTTGGCTGCTGGGTGATCGTCATTTTCGGGTGCGTTTGTCGGCCCAATAAGCTGCAGGCTTGAACAAGGATACAGGTTAAACTAAACACCACCTTAACAATTACATGCCCAGTGCTGTGGAACTATGGAACTGTGAAAACTGTGAAAAACTGTGGAAGAGGCAGGTTAATGACAAAATATCAGGAGCACCAGAATTACCCCACAAAAATGCCCTGATTTCTTCAAAACACCCAAACTGTTAATGGAAATTGGCATCCCCATTCAGTATCAACATCTAAGCACTGCATGATAAATAAAACAAAAATGTTAAATGAACAGTGGTAGACATACTTTTACTGAGACCAAAATGAATGTGAAATATTCTGAGCATGAAGACCCATGATGAGGCAATAATATGTTGGCAATAGAGTACAGCATTGTTACATGCCTGACAACCCAAAATTGACTTTCAGTCATCACACCATCAAATCCATATCCATCCAGGGGCCATTTAAAGATCAACAGTTAGGACATGCTGCATTTCAGGTGTCACAAATCCAACCAATGCAGCTAATCTTAGTACCTGCAGTCTTCTGACTGCAAATTTTGTGGATACTCCAAACAGGGATGCAGAGATGCTGGTTCAGAAGTGGCATCATCGTGGGCTCTGCTCACTGTGCAGCTTGCGATTCCTGGCAAATGGCATGACTAACTTGATAAAAAGACATTATAGGACATCATACACCTTGGACACAGCACCACTGTTATAGGAAAATACAGGTTAGGTACATATCATACCATGAAATACAAAGATTGTGCAATGAAAGTGGTAGTGCATATCACAAAACAGCCTGATTTTTCATGGATGCTGTCACTTCCTGACACAATATCAATACCTAACCAGTTGTTATAGGATGATCTAATATTTATCTGGCAAAAAATGGAGAAGCTGGTGGTAGCTGTAACTGAGGGCAGTATCTGATAACTATGAATAAAGATGATTCATGACAAAAACGAGTCCTATTTCCAGCAGCCTAAAAAAAACGGACCAAGCCACGGGAACCAAACACCGAAGCCAAGCCAACGTTTTCGGTACGGTACATTGACGTCTATTATCGTAGTGCATCTCATACACGAGTCCGGAAAATGTGATTCACACTTATTAGGACCAAACACATCGTGACGACATTGTCGCTTAAACTACAACACTTGGGTTCAATTAATATGACTACTCCGTTGCCGTGACATGCTGCCATCATGTCGTGCAGAGGGACTGTCGTAGTACCCTCTTAAAGTAGTGCACCTCTTGTACAATTCCAACGAGCAAGGCTTGAAATCGCTCTGTCATCCAGAGACATACTCTGCCGAGATATTTTGCCAACAGCCACCCTAAGGAAACGGATCAACCTCGGGAAACGAAGACTGAAGCAAGGCCAGCGTTTTCGGTGCGGTACATATACGTCTGCTAGCGTAGTGCACCTTACACACGAGTCCGGATCATGCGATTCACACTTATTAGGACCAAACACATCTTGCTGACGATGTCGGTGGATATGCCAGACCACGGTCCGATGAATAAGACCCGTGCATTGCCGTCAGATGTTGCCATCATTGGCGGACGGACTGCAGTAGCACCCTCTTCAAGTAGTACACCTCTGGTGTAATTCCAATTGGCGGGACCTGAAAACCGCTCTGACATCCAAAGACATACTCTACCGGGATAATATGCCAATAAAAATCCTAAGGATTCGGACCAAGCCTTGGAACCGAAGACTGAAGCTAGGCCAGCGTTTTCGGCACGGCACATATGCGTCTATTAACGCAGTGCGCCTCATGCACGAGTCCGGATCAGGCGATTCACACTTATGGAAAATAAACACATCGTGCTGACAATGACGGTGGAACTGCGAGACTTCGGTCCGATGAATAAGACTGATGCATTGCCGTGAGATGCTGCCATCATGTGCGGACAGGCTGGTGTAGCACCCTCTTAAAGTAGTACATCTCTTGCATAATTCCGATTGGCGAGACCTAAAAACCACTCTGATAGGCAAAGACACCCCCCGCCGAGATAACATCCCGTCACGAGCCCTGAGGAACGAAGCCAAGCCTCGGGAACCGAGGACCGAAGCAAAGGCAGCGGTTTAGGTACGGTACATATACGTTTAGTCGTGCGGGGCACCTGAAACAAGAGCCCTTATAACGCGATTCACACTAAGTAGAAATAAACACATTGTGCCGACAATGTCGGTTGAGTTGCAATACTTTGATTCAATGAATAAGACTCATGCACTGTCGTGGGATGTCACCATCATGTGCGGACAGACTGTAGTAGCACCTTCTTAAAGTAGTGTGCCTCTTGCATAATTCGTTGGCGAGACCTAAAAATCGCTTTGTCATCCAAAGACACACTGTACCGAAATAATGTGTCAGCAGCAATTCTAAGGGAACGGACCAAGCCCCGGAAACCGAAGACCGAAGCGAGGCCAACGTTTTCGGTACGGTACATATATATTTATAAGCGCAGCGTACCTTATACACGAGAGTACTTCCCCGGTAGAAAAGGTTATTGGATGCCGCAGCCGTATTGAGGTCTCGGCAGCTGGAATAATGCAAGAGGTACACAACTTTAAGAGGCTGCTTCTACGGCCAGTCCGCGCAACGTGATGGTGATATCTCACGGCAATGCATGGGTGTTGTTCATTGAACCGAAGTGTTGTAACTCAACCGACATTGTCCGCACGACGGCTGGCTGGCTGGCTGGTGGCATATTATCTCGGCAGAGTACGTCTTTGGATTCAGAGCGGTTTCTGAGTCTCGCCAATTGGAATTATACAAGAGGTGTACTACTTGAAGAGGGTGCTACTGCAGTCCGTCCGCCAATGATGGCAACATCTGACGGCAATGCATGAGTCTTATTCATCGGACCGTGGTCTGGCATATCCACTGACATCGTCAGCAAGATGTGTTTGGTCCTAATAAGTGTGAATCACATGATCCGGACTCGTGTGTAAGGTGCCCTACGCTAATAGACGTATATGTACCGTACCGAAAACGCTGGCCTTGCTTCAGTCTTCGTTTCCCGGGGCTTGATCCGTTCCCTTAGGGTGGCTGTTGGCATAATATCTCGGCAAAGTATGTCTCTTGATGTCAGGGCGATTTCAAGCCTTGCTCGTGGGAATTGTGCAAGAGGTGCACTACTTTAAGAGGGTGCTACGACAGTCCCTCTGCACATGATGGCAGCATGTCACGGCAACGGAGTAGTCATGTTAATTGAACCCAAGTGTTGTAGTTTAAGCGACAATGTCGTCACGATGTGTTTGGTCCTAATAAGTGTGAATCATATTATCCGGACTCGTGTATGAGATGCACTGCGCTAATATACGTCAATGTACCATACCGAAAACGTTGGCTTGGCTTCGGTGCTTGGTTCCCGTGGCTTGGTCCGTTTTTTAAGACTGCTGGAAATGCTTCAGTTCCGCCGACATTGTTGGGTTTTTTTCTGTGCTGCCGGTTTGGAAATATCAATTCGAGACACGAATGTGAAGAACTGAGATAGTTTTCTTGATTGCTCGAATGTACGTAATTTGGTGCTTATTCTGCCCTTTTAGTACATGCTATAAATCGTCGGCTGTCTGCGTGTTAAAAATCATATGACCTGTTTGTGGCCGAAATTATTACATTATCAGATGGTGATTTCTTGAAGATGATAGGCAATCATGCGAACATTGTGAGTAGTAGTGGTCGAAACGACGTAGTGAATAATGTTAATTGCCTGCTCATTATTTTTGGTGCTAAAGATGTCGTTTGGATAGTATGATTTCAAAGTTGGGCAATCCTGCTAACGCGAGCTGGTTGAGCCCGTGCCGCACTGCGCGTAAAACGCTCGCGGTGGAGATTTTTCTTCTAAAAAAGGTGAAGTACTTGAAGAGTACCCGCAGTCAGTGGTATTTCATTGTTTTCAGTGATGTTAGCCTGTCTGCTTACAGGTACTTTGCCAATAACAGCATCTGCTTATGCAGATTTTTGCTTGAAAGGTCTGTCAAGGGTTGTAAAATAGATTGGTTTTGGTTTTCCACAGGAATGAACAGTGGCACGGATGGCAGAGAACAAGGCGCTAACACTTTTGAGATGCCAGGTAGGTCATCCAGTCTAGCTGTGCCATCAGTTTCTGCAGATGAGACTGGAGGTGAGTTATTCATATATGCTGCTTGTGGTGGTTGGGTATTGATGGTAAATGACTTGGGTCTCTGTTTTATTCAGTGTGAAATGTTATTAAAATGGCAAAACTTTCAGACTAATTTTAGGATAGGCATGGAATGGTGGCTTAAGGTTTCCTGGCAAGCTGTATGTTGTTTAACAAATATTGCAGTTGCAGTACTGTTACATTACACTTGCAGCTGGTTGATGACAGTGTTCCTAAGGACTCATTTTTGTCATGAATCATCTTCATTCAAATTTATCAGATAATGCCCTCAGTTACAGCTACCACCAGCTTCTCCATATTTTGCCAGATAAATATTAGATCATCCTATAACAACTGGTTAGGTATTGATATTGTGTCAGGAAGTGACAACATCCATGAAAAATCAGGCTGTTTTGTGATATGCTCTACCACTTTCATTGCACAATATTTGTATTTCATGGTATGATATGTGCCTAACCTGTATTTTCCTGTAACAGTGGTGCTGTGTCCAAAGTGTGTGATGTCTTATAATGTCTTTTTATCAAGTTAGTCATGCCATATGCCAGGAATCGCAAGCTGCACAGTGAGCAGAGCCCACGATGATGCCACTTCTGAACCAGCATCTCTGCATCCCTGTTTGGAGTATCCACAAAATTTGCAGTCAGAAGACTGCAGGTACTAAGATTAGCTGCATTGGCTGGATTTGTGACACCTGAAGTGCAGCATGTCCTAACTGTTGATCTTTAAATGGCCCCTGGATGGATATGGATTTGATGGTGTGATGACTGAAAGTCAATTTTGGGTTGTCAGGCATGTAACAATGCTGTACTCTATTGCCAACATATTATTGCCTCATCATGGGTCTTCATGCTCAGAATATTTCACATCCATTTTGGTCTCAGTAAAAGTATGTCTACCACTGTTCATTTAACATTTTTGTTTTATTTACCATGCAGTGCTTAGATGTTGATACTGAATGGGGATGCCAATTTCCATTAACAGTTTGGGTGTTTTGAAGAAATCAGGGCATTTTTGTGGGGTAATTCTGGTGCTCCTGATATTTTGTCACTAACCTGCCTCTTCCACAGTTTTCCACAGTTTCCACAGTTCCATAGTTCCACAGCACTAGGCATGTAATTGTTAAGGTGGTGTTTAGTTTAACCTGTATCCTTGTTCAAGCCTGCAGCTTATTGGGCCGATAAACGCACCCGAAAATGACCATCACCAAGCAGCCAAATTTCTGCACGAAGTTGATGCAGCAGCGGTGACTTTTGAACCTGGCTCGAAACGAATTATCCCTTTGCGATTCGATCTCCCTCGGACTCAAGTAAACTGCAATCCACAGGTCCGCCCTATCGTGGCGTTTGGTGCCGCCCTGGTCCACAACTTGAAGGCAAGGAGAGGAAGGTGGTGCGGATGGTGGAAGAAAAGGAACAGCAAACAAGGCGCCCCTGGACAACATGCTCTATGTCCGGTCGGTTGGTGACCTGAAGGGTTTCCGGACCCAAAAAATCAATCGACGTCCAGGTGAGCATAGTCTCCGAAGCCATCGGACATCTGGTGTCCAGCAAGCTGATCCCGCCATCGGCTGCGGCGCCGAGCTGCAGTTAATCACCACGCAGGATGCTGATTGCTTCAGCATCCTGCGTGGTGAGGAACGCACTAGCTCCAACCAAGCTCTCTTGAAAGTTTTGTGGAAACGTGGTCGCTCGATCGAACCTTTCGTCAGTCTAGTTGTCCGCATGTGGCTGCTCAGCCCTGTCGAAAGTGTGGTTGAGTCCATGGGCAGCGTCTTCAAGGAGGTTTTCTTCATAAATCGGCAGCTGAGGCATGACAATGCCGCGAAAGAGCTCACGATTCGATGGAATGGTTCTGAGCTTGATGGTGCCGAACATCTCATAAGAGCTGTTCAGAAGCGTCACCAATTTGACTTCGTGAGGCGGTCTGTCAACGTGAAGCACCTGCTCACGGGAACGGTGATCGCCCGCCATAGAGCATACCAATCATATCGCTCGTGCCTTTTCAAGTAGTTGAGGAGAAAAGGAGTGTTGACATTGTGAGTCAGCCCTTGGATCAAATTTTGCATGCGCGATTAACGTCCTCGAGCTCACGGCGAGTGCCGAAGTACTGTGGACAAGGTTTCGTTGTGTGCTGAACTGTACGCGGCGTATTTGGCATTTTGTTCTGACACCATGTCGGCGTGATTTTGTACATATCCAAGATGAATGCAGTGTAAATACAAAAAATCGTCGCCAACTACGTGGTGTTGAAAGTACTTTAGCAAAGCATGTATGTTGTCAAGGATGTGGTAGGTAAAACTACGATGCTGTCGCGATCCGACCGAAGCTCCCTTGAGAAGTTGACAATACGGTTATGCGCTCACCGGCTTCATCAAAAAGCCAAGGAGACAAAATCTGGCATCGCAGTCCGGTGGGAGACAGTGTCTACGGTTTTTTCCCCCCTTTGTTCAGGACAGATGCGATTTTCAGTATCATGCGCCTACAACAGCCATGACATAAAGAAGGTAAATCGGCCTCTGTGATCTCATAATAATATCATCCGCCTGGACATATACCTCATACAATATCACAACACAATAGGTCGAAGATCATGTAAAAGCTCTAAAGGTGGTAAGACATGAAGCTACTGTTCATGCCAGTGGTAAGGTCAGGGAGCTTAGTAGTGTGGTATGGGCCAAGTGGTGGCAAAAGGTCGAGTACAATTTGTGTAATCATGCAAACGAGCAAAGCTGGCTCAACAAGGAAAAACAACGAGAACGAAAATCAGAACGGAGGTGGGCATCGGCACGCCTGATGTGAAGTGGTGAGTTTCGTATCAGTGGGGTTTGTGCGCATAAGATTATGGAATGAATTAAAACAATTAGTATGTAAGGATGTTTACGTTATATTTCACCGGACTCTTAGGTCCCACGTTTCGAAATGATTTTTCTCGGAAGTTCTATCTTACCTACGGAGCCAATGAGATACGAAATGGTGGCATCCATTGATAGATTTGGAGTGTTCTAAAACCCGTTGTTCTCGTCCGTGTTTTGCCGAAACAAAACCCATCATGGTGCGTATTACGTCCTGAATATGGAAGTGACAACGATCATCACAGCTTAGGTCAGTCTCGGATGGACTCGGAAAGGATTGGGCCCGGCAGACAAAATACAACACCAGTGGGAGGCTTTCCATGTCCCTGGAAGCGTCTCTTCGGCTTTAATGCTGGACGTTAAATGGCGCCTGTTGACCTAAACACACTCCAAACATACACATCTGTTGGCGTCCGCGTCAATCCAATCGTTCTTGGCTCGCACACAGATACCCTCGCCCCCCCCCCCCCCCCCCCCTGTCCCAGTACGTTGGCATGATAATATGTCTGTGTGGGTCCTCGTTGAACTAAGTTGAGTCCATTTAACGCATTTCATACACCCGGTGGAACCACGTGCCTACACTCTCTAAAGCATATCAGGCTCATTTATCAGTCTGGCGCCAGCGCGTTTACGCGGCCGGCATCAGGTGTCCGAAGCTGGACGACGACTCGTTCCCTCCCCTAACCTCCAGGGCGAAGGCACGCTATTCGGCCGACGCTCCCTCGCGTCTCGTCCGCGGTGGGGCGGCCCATCACTCCTTCGGCCACGCCCACCTCCCGCAGCTTTCCGCTGCCGTGGCGCGCTATAGGCAGCGCCTCGTAAAGCGCGGTGACGTGGCCTCCGACGCTTTTGCGCCCTCGCCTTCTGCCTGCTCAATTGAACTTTGTAAGACTCCACCCCACGGCGCGTTTCTCAGAGGCCTGCAGGTAGACAGCGCGCCAGATGGGAAGGCGAATCCCCTTGGCAGACAGCGAGCGCTTGACGTGACCTACGTTTGTACCTTGCGGTATCCACCGCCGGGATGATCTGGAGACTAACTGACTGGCCAGTCCTACGACCCTGTGTCTTGTCGCCCTTGCTATGAGCGCGCGTTGGAGAGCTCTCTTTTTCCCAACATCAAACTCTATTTGTCCCGCCGTCAAGAGCTTATAAGACCTGGCGCTCAATACGTTGGGAAAGAATAGCTTGTGTACTGTTCTCTCCCGAGGCATTGTACACCAACAGATGGACTCAGTGACAAGCGTGCATAATGGTGCATCCTGGGCAGTCCCAACTGGTCCTTGGTGATACCGTGACCGATGCGTCTTTATGCCGTCATGTCTGAGGTCAAGTGAGAGACAACGAAACGAGCCGGACGTCGCGTGGTCCGTAAAAAGGAGCGAAGCCGCGCTCCTGGGTCGCACTATCTACAAGCATCGCTCCGTGTGAGGACAGGACCGCGGCTGTCTGACTTTTCAATCCTGCCCGTGTCTGAGCCGTACTGCTCGGGCGCGTTTGCGGAAAATGCCAGTGCTTGCCCTTCGTCGTCGCAAGTCCGAGCAATCGACCCACTGACTGGGTGGCCATTGATAAGTCAGAGCCTACCCTGGATTTGAGCGCGAGTCCCTCATATTAACTGGACCGTTACGTACTTAATCGCACCGCCAGCGGGCCAACAACAGTCACCCGTCAACCGCGCACGCATGCGGTGTACATAGCGCCGCGGTCATGCCCGGGTCTGCTGGCGATACGACGCGCTAGGTGCAGGGAGGGCTGCTGGGCCGACACCGACGACTTATCGGACACTTCCTTGGATGCCAGGCCAAAAAATAAGAAACAAACCAAAGAAAGAGTAAGCAAAACAAAAACAAGAGAAAAAACAGTGCAACAGAGAGCATGATCGCGACGAATGGATTCGTATCAATGTAAATGGCCTCGACCCGCGCGCGTCCGTGGTCTCACGTCCGCACGTGGTTTAAGCGAGTTCAATCCCCCCATGTTCGGCGTGTAGCGCCACCTCGCAACTTGCTGACGGGTCGTGGCGCTGGGATCGCTCGTCCGTCGTAACCGTAAAGTGCTATCCTCTGCCGGCGGGTCGCGGGCGCTAGACCCCTCGTCCGTCCGCACCGTAAGATGCTGTCCTCTGCTGGCGGGTCGCAGGTGCCAGCGCCGCCATGCGCGCCGTTGGGTGCTGCCCTCTGCCCGGGATGTCCGATATCCGCCGGTAGATGGCGTCTGTGTCGTCTTCCAAACGCTGCCCCGATCGGCGCCTTGCGAGTGCCCTCCTCTGGTCTCGCGCTGTCACGCACGGTCTTTCGAGACATAGCGGGTTCGGTACACCTCGCCGCGATGTCTCGGCACCCATGGCGGGCAATCTCGATCCGACCGCTCGCTTCAGGCGGTCGGAGGGAGGTTGGTTGATTCGGAGACATCGACACCGTACTCTCTCGTGCCGGGCCTCCGGCGTCTGTAGCAGATCCCTCCAGGACGGGAGAGGCCCTTGCCAGGCGAGCACGGACACCGTGCACTTACCAGTCAGTCAGTCGAGCCAGGCCAAGCAACACAGAGAGAAAAGTAGGGAACTGGAATTACACGCTCTCGTTAAAAAAATCCGTGCGTACGCGCTGAGCGGAGCTAGACAGTACCGAGTCAAACAAGAATATTAACAGACAAAAATTACACACTCACCGATACCATGCAAAATCACCTAGTCAGCTGGGCCGGACGAGCGATAAGCAATGGAGGAGGACAGCGCGCGGATGATGAAATGCGTGCAAGCGCTCCGGACGGGACTCGGCAAGACCGTTTCACCGCCCACGCCCCCCCCCCCCCCCCCTCCCACCTTAAAAACCAAGGGAGGGAACAAAGGCAAACGATTAACTTAACGGAAAAGGAGGCTAAGCATGCACGAACGTCATATGACCAACCAGTCAATCGGCCTGGGTGAAGCAACTGATAACGAGTGGTGAGAAGACACCGGATCGTCAGTCCGTCCGTGCATGTGCAAAAGTCAGGGCTTAAAATTAAATTGAAATCACATTAAAAAGGAATAAAAAAAACAGACCGTCCAACCAGCCAGCAGACTTCCGCCACAGCCGAAGGACACCTTCATGGATGTACCGGCGTGGTCGGCACGCCGTGCCTGGCCGCGACGTGGGATTGGCGAGGGACATGATGAGCCGCTGCGCCTCCATGTGGCTGCCTCCAACGGCAAAATCGAGACAGCCTCGGCGCCGGCTATCGAGCCAGCCGTCGTGCCGAAGCGCACGTCAACGCCCTCGAACACCGTGCGATGCCACATTGGGCGCCAGTTCCCTTTCACCGCTTGGCCAAATTACCTTCAGCCTCGCGTCCGTGCTAAACCTTTAAAACGCAGAACGTCAGCCGTATTTACCAAATCCCTCGCACTTCTTGACCCACCAGTTGATCTCTTCGCGCGGCCCAGCACCAAACCGCGTGATACTTCAGCCCTCCCCTTTCACTTCTCTTTCCTCTCACTTTTTCTTCATTCTACCTTGTATTATTATCTCATGTGATAAGGCTTATCTTTGTTATCACCCAGCTCACTCGACGCCAAATAAGGCGTTTCACCAAGACTACTAGGAATAAGCCGGCAAGGAATTTGCCATCGGTTGCCAAGGTTTGCCATCGCATTTTTTGTAAAGACCTATAATGGTTCGCTTGAAAGGCGCTTCTAAACAAGCGTGTCGATCCCATGTAATGGAATATTGAGCACAAGGATAACATCACAAAGATTTAATTCTAGCGGAGCCTTTAGCTGACGATGACGCATTCATACTGAGGCTGGGGCTGGTAGTAAGCGCGGGGAGCCTCATCATCGTCATCATCATCGCCCAGGCGCCTCGTGCCCCTCCTCCTCATCATCAGACACCTCCGGGGCGGGGAAATCGGTGGGCACGGGGGTGGGCAGGTGGTCACCCTGGGGCTGAAAGCCGTTGGCGTCGGCCACGTAGACGACCTCGTGGACGACATCGTCGGGACCGGTGTAGCTGAACTGGCCGTTGACGTTATGACTCTCCTCATCGCCGTATCCCTCCACCGGCCTGCCAGACTCGGAGACGTAGATGCACTTTCCAGTCCCAAAGCTTCGAAATAAATATGAGTGAAACATTGAATCACCTACAGATCGTGCCGCCTCCGTAGTCTAGGGGAAAGCTGCTTGACTTGTAATCCAGCGGCACTGGGAACAAGGACCAGAGTGGGCGCATTGCCTGAAGTGGAAAGGTCAGCTGACAACTGGCCAACGAGGGCCAACCCAGTTCCGGGGTGGCCCTGCCGCAGCAATGTGCGACACGCATAAGCCTCCGCAATCCTGTCTGACAAAAGGGCGGAGGCAAAATCATTCGTTGAACTGGACGGCACGACTTGGGTGGTGG